GGGGATTTTTGTGGCCTAAAATGTCTAATTTCACCGCAGCTTTTCTAAAAAAGGATGCACATTGGGATGTTTTCAGGCTTTTTTTGCACTGAAATTCAAGAGGAAGTGAAAATTGCATTTTTTTGTTGTTTGTGTAATTAATCACAAATTGAAGGCAACCTGTCTAGTGAGAATAAAACGTTTTTGGAGTGATTGCTCAGATTAGAGTTGTTTTGATTGGACAGAATTCACACAGATTGGTTGAATTTGTGTTAATTGTTACTTTGAATTTGTGTTAATTGTTTATTGTAACTTCCTGGAGGGACTGATTAATGTGCGTCTAGGCTGTAAAGAATCCGTAGAGTGAATGTTTCACGCAGAGGGTCATTAAAGGTGTGGCCGCTTCAAAACGTCTTTCCAGAGAGCGTCAGGGGAGCGAGGCAACGTGCAACCGGGAGATAAATATAAATATAATTATCTATTTCAAAAACCGGAGTTTACGTTACTACACACGTGCTCTGTAGCTCACAGTCCAACAGCTAACTAACTAGCTAACCTTTTTACCGGCTTAGTAAACAGCATCAAAACAGGAAGTAAGTGGTGAACTAGTGAAGCCCGCCTCTTGATTTGATGGGCTGTCTGGGGCAAGTGTGACACTGAGTGACTCTGCGCCTTGTGCTGAAAAGCTGAGAATATTTTAACTGTTGTGCGCGTCTAAAAAAGGTGTTTCAGTCAGGACCACTTTTGTCAAAAAAACTTATTGGCTCTGTTCTGGGATCTCCCTGCCCTTCCACGTGCATACATGGAAAACCTTAAGACAAGGAGAGCAGCAGCAAATACCCCCCAGGGTACAGAGCAAGCATAAATGGCAATCAGAACTGACAATGATTAAATCAGATAAAAGGAGGAGCCAGGTTGCAAATCGGCTTGCAGAGGAAGCATCAAAAATAAGCCGGTTAAAGCAGTTGAAATAAGGCGCCCTGAATGATATTTACCAATTGGATGCTTGGAGGGAATCAGCTGATGTATGTTTATGCTCAGCTGTGATCAGCTGATGTAGCTGGAACTGAGAGCTGAGCTTGACTTCGTGGCCTGCCTGAACTAACGCTGTGATGCGTCTCTGTGTGATCGGCCCCTGAGTGGCGTTGGCACAGTACAGAGCGGTCAGTCTGAACTTTAATATAAATACTGAAAACAGCTACAGAAAATCCTTTAAACACCAATCGTCCTCATTAGCAGTTTTGAACACTTAAGATAAGATTCATTCATCCTGAGGGAAGCTGTTGCAGTACAAAGTGGGAAGAGTGCAAATATAAAATATACACAATACCAAAAAAAAAAAATACAGGTTAACTGTATGGATCATTCTTGGTGGTGTGCGTATAGACGTGTATGAGAATTGTCATATAGCAAATCTGATGTACAGGTGAGTGTTTATGGTGAAATATTCACAGCTACATGTACAGATAAAGACACGTGGTACGAGCAGGGCTGAGTATCATTACAAATATAATAACAATAGTGACTGAAATACCAACTTTTTTTATTGAACAAAAGACGTCAAAGTTGGTAAAAGCAGCAGCTTAAATACAATCAGTCTAAATATGCACACACACACACACACACAGATGTGTATATAAAGTATAGTGTCTTTTTTACATGATAAGAACATATGAATGAACTGAAGCAGTGTTATGAAGAAACTGTTTGTGTCAATTGAGCCAACGGTCTGCGAGCTGAGCCTCACACTGACTCTGACCTGGAGTTTCACTGTCCAGCTGAATGAGGAACATTGCGTACTGTGTGTCTGGAGAACATTTATCACAGAACATCTGGACTAGATGAAACCCTTTACTCTTCAAACAAGTCAACAAACATCTGGGATCAGATTAACTGGTCTCTGACACAGGTAGTCTGGGTATAAACAGCTGGTCCAGGTGTGTAAACTGACTCAATGCTGCTGCTTGGTGCTTTATTATTTATTGAATTCAGTCGTCTTCAGCTCAGTCTCAGATCCTACAGCAGGCTGAAACCCTCTCATGTATATGTAATGTCCCCTGATACCCCTTCTTATACCCTCTGACAGCACAGGCTGATGAACATTTCTTCATCAGGTCTGATACCCCAAAGACCTCTCATTACCCCATCATACCCTCCTATACTCTCAGATACTGTCACAACTGAGGTGGAGCAACAGGAACAGACTGACAATGGAGGTAGATCAGTGACTTATTAACTTACAGGATCAGGCAGAAACAGGTTCAGGTACAGTGTCGGGTTTGGGTTCTGGATGATGAGGAAACTTGTAACTGGTGTTTACCCCTTAAACCTCCATCATACTCCTCTTATACTTGCAGATCTTCCTTTACACCCTCTTCAAACCTTATTAAACCCTTAATGCAAAAGTCTCCAAATATTTCCTATACCTCCCAATACCCACCCTGTAAACTCTGGTACCCTTGAATACCCTTGAATACTAATATCACCCTCTGATACTCCATGATTCCCCTCTTTGAATGATATTTTTATGCCTTGTACACCCATGCCTGATACCACTCCTGTTAATCCAGAATTCCCTCTTAAAACCTCTAGTACCCTCTGATATCCACTGATACCTTCTTAAACCCCTCCTATACCCTCAGATACCCCTTGAATACCCTCTTACACCCTTGAATATTCTCCGAGACTCCCTGATAACCTTCATTCTCTCAAATACCCTCTTACAGTTTATCCTTTGATACCCTTTAATGCCTCCTGATACCCTTTGAAGCCTCCCCTCTGTACCATCTGATACCCCTGATACTCTATTATATCCTCTAAAGCCCGATCATACCTGACACCTTGTGCTGTCCTCTGCTGGACACTCAGTGTGTGTTCAGCTGTAAATATCAACATCTTCAGACTGATTCTCTTCTCTTCTGCAGCGTTTATTCACTTTTGTCTGATTTTATTTTAGTGAAGTATTGAATAAATGATTAAATGTGAAATCAATGCTCTGTAGCTGCCAATGTGTTTGTCATTAAACAGTAAAGACAAATCATTGTTTACATTTTGATATTGATACACAGACACCTCATCTGATTCATCTGAAGTTAAATTAGTAGGTTTACTTTCACACAGTTTGTCACATGACAGCAACGCCTCTGTTAGCCTGCAGAAGTGTGAATTATAGTCAGTGTGAGTTCATGGAAACTACAGTTATAGCTGAACGTGGTGATGAGCTGACAGGAAACGCCTCAGCAGGGTGTTTACAGCAGCTTTATCTCAGATACACATAGATGTACAGATATATTAGGTCCCAGCATCAGTGCAGGGCTCCTCCACCTGTCCCTTAAAGCTGATCAATATCACCCTAGTGAGATACAGTAGATGGCGCTAAACACACTGGAGCTTAAACTATTAACTATTATTTACATCATCCCACTGCAGCCATGTTAGTCTGCAGGGTTGGGAGGGTTGTATAGCGGCAATTCATAACAGAAGTTATCTCAGGACACTTTTCAAATAGAGCAGGTCTAGACCGAACTCCTTATAACATTTACAGAGACCCAACAGTACCA